TGGTTTTTGGCGCAGCCAGAAAACGAACTGCATRTACAGATCTTACAGCAATAAATATTAAACTGAGTTGGTTTTCACAACGATCGATAAATTTTATCTTAAAATTAATTTATTTAAAATGAAGAAAAAAACGAACAATTGTAAGCTCTTGTAAGCTCTTGGGGTTTTTCATGATTGTTCCCTAGATTACGCAGGCATATACCGTATATATATACAGGAATAAATAGGTATATAYCATACATACATATGTATGTACATAATTATTCGTAAAATCATTCATGAATTTTCTGTTGATTCAATTTCTTTCGCTTKGCTTCATAAGATATGTTTATGGTATATACTAGTTACAACCTCCTGGGATACCCAAAAAAAATCTAGAGGGAAGAGGTGTCAAGCTATACTCAAGAGTAGATATTTCTGAATCCACGATTCGTATTATAGACCCTAAATAGGTAGTTCTCTATCACCTGTCGGCTATCAAAAGCCTCTAAGCCCCAAATTCATCGCACAGCTTCGCCGACTCATACCAAAAAAATGCGTCAAATTTCTGCCAAGCAGCTGTTAAGGGCGTAGCTGTCATATTACAATTATTATGATTATTATTATATACAAAATGAATGTCAAAATACACAAAGAAATCAGCTGCTCAATTTCTTGTGAAACAAAATTTACGGTGAAACGAAGGCAACACAACAATACGAGTACACCAACAGCGCCAGCGTTTCGTAAACTTGTTTTTATTGAAGACGTTACGTTTTATGATGACGTAGCAGAGAAGAAGAAAAAKATATTTCAAAATAAAATAGCACACATGCATACTTGTAAGTAGCGCAAAGCATGAGTAAGGTGACATAATTYGTACACGGGAAAACAATTAATTTTTAAGAGCCAATTCGTTGTCAAGAGCGTTAAGTATGTATGCACATGGGGGCTATGTGTATGTGTGTGTAAATACATTAAATTATTTACACGGCATTTTTAAGCTCAAGCTATTTTCATTGCAATTTAAGTCTATTTGGTAAGGCATTATTTATAAGTATATGCAAGTATACATATGCTCATGGGCTCTTCGCAATTACTCTTTCATAAAAAACTAATTTGTCTTCGCAATATTCTGCTTGAATAATATATATGCAAATTATAATTTCTTTTTTTTTTTTTGTGTTAACTGTGATGGAAAAGCCTTCGAGCGTATTTCTACCTTAAAACAAAATGAACATAAAACCCACTAACCAATTAGAATCATAGAAAAAATCATTTACGACAGCACCTATGTACTTAAGATACATTCATTTTCAGTTTGTATGGCTATCCGAACAATTCACTCAGATTTTATGTTGTTGTTTCAAAAAATAATTCGAGTCAAATTTTGTGCAGATAACTCGTCAAATAAAGTAAATTTGGGGTTTTCTATTGAAATAAATTTTTTGGCTTTACATAAACTCACGCTTTAACAAAGATTCATAAAAAATTATATACTGAAATAAAATTGGTTTTCGGTGTGGATTTCTTCGATTTTGTGCTGTGAAATTCAGCTGTTAGCATCTCTAATAGTGTAAGCCACTGACTATGGATGTATTTTCTCCTGAATTCGTAAATTACAATTAATCAATAAAATTTCAGACCTTAGAGTGCATCAAATGATAGGTAAATTTTTCGACTGTTTATCTTCAARAAAATAAGAATAGGGTGGTATTGTAAATATCAACAATTAATTAAATTATCAAAAGACAGTTTGGTTTTCTGTCATTTGTCAATTCAGTAATTTTCAACTGTCTCTCWGTATATACCAGAACCAGCCCCTCAGTTTCTGAGYTATCGATCTGAARTATAGCATCTGATGGTAAGACGTCTTCTCACTAATTAAACACTTTTCATCTATCATTGGACTTATTTCACGATGACAGAGTTGAATGAAGACATTCATATACATTTAACGTTAATTAAGTACTAATTGGCATATTAACCTTTAAGGTACTTGTCCAATAAATTACGAACGAGTGCATAAATTAAAAAATAAGACAAAATATTGAATATGATTCAATACAAAAATACGCCAAATATTAATGTTTTATTAATGATTAAAGTTAGAATGCTGCACATTTTTTTCTTCGTTCGTAATTTATTGGACAAGTACTGTAAAGGTTAACTTGAATTAATTAAAGCTTAATTGTTTAATTACTAAATTTTGCAATTAAAAGCAAGCTTTGAGAATATACAAACCCTATGTGGTACTCCAAAGTATCTGGGTATATAATTTCAACAATTTTTTCTAGCCTCCTATCGGAGTTAATTTGTTCGTAYAAAGTGTTTTTGATATTATTTCGAAATATCGATTTACACTAAGGATTTTACACTGATGGAATAATATCTCTAGGGGAATAATTGCAAAAAGTGGTCGACCAAATTGGTAAATATTTGTTTACTTATTTAGTATTACAAATATAAAAAAATAAGTTTAAGTTTGATTAGAAATACGAAAATACTTTTTCGACAGAAAATATGTTTAAAAGTGTAATAGTTTAAAAATTTAATARTATTATTATTAAGTAACACAAAATCTTTCAATTATATGTTATATCCAATAAATAACAACATTTCCTTAATACCCAAAATGACCGATAAATACAAAATAATAAAACGACTTTTTTTGAGAATGAAGTAGATAGGTAAGAATTGTAAATTGGTTGGCAATTTATATTGAATGACCAATGAAAACTTATGGCTGGTCAATAGTAGAGCGATTTTAGAGTTTTAAATAAAAAAAATAAATATTAAAAAATAAATAAACTTAAAGCGAAATACCTAAAGAGCTGCTGGCGAACCGCACTGAATTACGATTCTGTAGGAAATTCCCCTTCTATGCGGAAATTGAATGAATTATTTTTTACGGTGATTAATTTCCTGGAAAAGGTGTTTTTTCGAGAGACATAACAATAATTATTTTGCTACTTAAATTTGTTATGCTGAGGGTTACAKACGCAAGTATATAYATAYATAYRTATGTATATTGAATAAAAATTCTGAATGCCAAGATCTCATTTSTTACCTTCACAAAAGTAGAGTCTTTGGAAAAAGCACACAATAGGTCATATGTTTACCATAAAAGTAATATACATATATGTAGAAAATGTTATGCATGCATATACAAATATATATACATATGTACGTATCTTTCATTCAAACTCTATGCCTATATATTTTTACAATACTTCGCGGTGTCTTCTCTCGGTTGTAAAATWTACACACATACTTTTTGAAAAGATKTCTTCACTTCTCATCTTCTTTGCTTGTGCTCTTCTTTGTCTCACTTGACACTATGCCAGTAATGTAATAAATGAATAAAACGCACTTAAGCTTGCGTAACCCATGTGCCTATTGACCTTCGTGCCGTTGAGTGGGTGATCAATTTCTCCTCGTTTTCTCTCAATTCGAAACTGATCGGCGTACTTTTTTCGGAAAGTTATCAATCAACAAAGCATCAAACTTACTGAAGTCGCACACTCTCGTATGCTTTTGATTTTAGTAAATATGTGTAATAACCAGTTTAGGTTGCTAACCAAAAAGTAAAAAACATAAATTGATAAATTAAAGGCAAAASCAGAAACCGAGTGTGTTGAAGGTTAATTTCGATTGTTTCAAATGATCAACAAACTATTGCAAGCGGACTGAAGCTGAACAACAAATAAATTATTTGTATGTATGTGTAAAAAAGTATTTGTAAATGTACATATAATTATACATATGTATGTATAAGATTTGCATTAGGCTAACGTATCACAGGTGCTCACAAATACTACGAAGTGCGGATCTTACCACTTTAAGTCCAATTACATGGTTTTATAATTGCACTAAGTATAAATTACATACATGCATACAGATATATGTGTATATATAGTCTGTCTCTTATACACATCTAGATGTGTATAAGAGACAGGTATATATGTATGTATATGTATACCTACATAGTACATATAAACTTTTACAAAAATGCATGAATACTCATATATTTGTATTGCGTGTTTATTTTGCTAGAATTAAAACACATACATACATACATACATATATACTATATATCTTTGCCCATAAAGGCTTTTTATAGTAAAACCACTTCCTCTCTTAACAGCATGTTTGAAAATCAAAAGTGAATAGGCGCTTCCATGAATTTTTCGATTAGTGGTTAATTAAGTAAGAAGGTTGATTGCTAATATTATATTATCTCTTGTGTAAAATGTATAACMAAAATCTCTTAGAATACTATAGTTTATTGCATCTCAATGAAAAAGATAAAGAATATTTTTAGCAATCAAAAACTTGCATAGAGAGTTAATTTGAGGACAACATCGTAAAACTCTATAGAGCTATGATGACAAGCCAAAATCTTTAATATAAAATTTTTTCTGCAAGTCATACTTTCCACAGAGCGTCATGTGATGTTCCAAAATTTCAAATGAATTTGAAATGTGTGTGATTTTTGTTATTAGAGTACAAAAAATTATGCTGAGCGATTAAGAAACTATTTGTTTACAGTTACTGGGCAAGTTTTGAGCGGGGAACTACAAAATTTWGGTATTATTTGATTTTCTAAAATGAAATAAAAAACTTTCTACGATACTCTTAACTTTGTAGGAGAAAACAAAACATTTTCAGCTAACAAGTCAGTAAAAGTTTATTGAAAGCATCATCGTTCAATAACCACAATGTTTTCTGTGTAAAATAAATTTATTGGAGCGAAAAACGTAGTGATTGAATTCGTCATTTGTGATAATATTTGCTACTCTAAGAGGAAGAATTCCCTAAATACAGACTTACAAAAGTATAAGAGAACCAGCTTTAGAGAAGACGTAATGTTAAGACAGGTGAAGATATTGGTAGTYGTAGCCTTTTGTGTTTTGGTCAACAGAAGTCGTTGCAGTCGTACATCTCCAGTGCTACCAATCACATTGTGTACAGTATTAAAAAGGGGAGATTCTAAGCTATATAAAAAAAAGTAGTAAATAATGAAGAAACCGTATAATCGATRCTCTTTCGACTGCAAAGTATCAAAGGCAAGTAAGCACTTTCAGGTATTGGCAAAACTTTGTATTAAAAAATATTGCGAAATAGTTCAAAATCCATTGTTCGACAAAAAAMAATTTGAGACATTATTAATATAATATATTATAGGTGGCATTCTAATACCCGATTTCATCGATTTTATGCACAAAAATTCACTGTTATTAGAAAAACGACTCTTACTCTCATTAAGATAATCCACATATTGGCCAATATATGCGGTATAAAGTCAACCGGAATTTCGAAAATTAGGTTTATGGTTGCTACGATAAGTATTTATCCTCAAAGCATTTTGGATATAGATATACTATTATCAGGAARAGATMCCCTCCGAATTTCAATATATAATATAAGCGATAAAAAGGTCGTAATTGGAACTATGGTCCACATATTCGGCATGTGTTGGTTTGAACAGTTCTAGCGCAATTTTGACAATTTTTGGTCACACCATAAAGGCTTAAKTTTTAAGTCCTATGATTTGTATGCTGAAAAACGACAGAAGCAGTTAGAATTAAAAATTGTATTATATGGGAAGCAGGYGTKTTTTTRGTTCGATTTTCCCYTTTTTTTTGGACTATAATGTAAGAAAGTCAGGATAATATTATATACCCAATTCGGATGAAATTGATCGAGTAGTTCCCGAGATATGAGATTTTACTTCAATGYGGGCGCTGCCACGCGCGTTGTACAAATTTGACACCAGCTCCAAAAGAGCCTTCTTGTACCATCCTGAATGTATCATTTTATGTCTACTAATTTTTGGCATTTTAGTAGTTTCTAATAAAACCTCTGTTTGGCAAGTGTCGAGATTTTCATTCAATTGGCGAATTTGGTTTATTWTAGCTTGAATGGTTTAGGAGACATGTATGTAGTTACATTAAACTTATTAGAAGGCGGCGCCATATCTACTTTTTGGTATCAAATAAGCAACCTTGCACCTTATTGGAAGCTTAGTTAATTGGGATTTATGGGCTTGGCAGTGGACTAATTACTATTCTATCACTCCATTCATTACCATCTACGATTCCGTCTTCTTTTTATACTCTCGYAACAAATTTGCTAAAGAGTTTTGCTGTAATTTGCTATAGTTTTGTTCACATAAAGGTTGTTTGTAAGTCCTAAACCTAATAGAGTGAGATATAGGGTTATATATACCAAAGCGATCAGGGTGACGAGTAGAGTTGAAATCCGGATGTCTGTCTGTCCGTCCGTCCGTCTGTCCGTCTGTCCGTCCGTCCCTGCAAGCTGTAACTTGACTAAAAATTGAGATATCATGATGAAACTTGGTACATATATTTCTTGGCTCCATAAGAAGGTTAAKTTCGAAGATGGGCAAAATCGGCCCACTGCCACGCCCACAAAATTGCGGAAACCGAAAACCTATGAAGTGTCATAACTAAGCCATAAATAAAGATATTAAAATGAAATCTGGCACAAAGAATAGCATCAGGGAGAGGCATATTTGGACGTAATTTTTTTGGAAAAGTGGGCGTGGTCCCGCCACCTACTAACTGTTTTGTACATATATCGAAAACTACTATAGCTATGTCAACCAAACTGTAAAGAGTCGTTTCTTTTAGGCATTTTCATATACAGTTCAAAAATGGAAGAAATCGGATAATAACCACGCCCACCTCCCATACAAAGGTTATGTTGAAAATCACTAAAAGTGCGTTAACCGACTAACATAAAACGTCAGAAACACAAAATTTTACGGAAGAAATGTGAAAAGGAAGCTGCATCCAGGTTTTTTTTAAATTGAAAATGGGCGTGGCGCCGCCCACTTATGGCCCAAAAACCATATCTAAGGAATTACTCGACCGATTTCAATGAAATATGATATTTTCTTAACACCCTGATGACATGTTCCAAATATGGGTGAAATCGGTTCACAAACACGCCTGAAATCTCGATTATCACTTAATCATGCGAGAGTATAAAATGTTCGGTAACACCCAAACTTAGCCCTTCCTTACTTGTTTGTCTAAATTTTCAATCAAATTACAGGTTGCACCGATAGATAGACGAACAGACAGTCAGTCAATTGGAATTTAACTCGTCTCGTCATCCTTATCATATATTTTCATATAACTCCATATCTACCTCGATTAGTTTTAAGAGTTACAAACAAGCGTTAGATGAATACAACTATTATACTTTATAGCAAGATGCTGCAAGGGTATAAAAAAACCTATACCAACATGTGGCAAAACTTCTATAAAAAATATAGTACCATATTAAAGATAATTTCAGAAAATATTAGCAAAATCGGCGACATTTTTAGTGGTAATAAAACCGTCAAACACTATTTTTTAAGATCAAAAAATTGGGTTTTTGGCAGCGCAAAAACAAATTATATATATTTCTGTGGTTATAGAAYGAACGGTATTTGAAATGCTTGTATTTCTTTATTCTAACAAAAATAAAAAAATTATGTACTCTTCTATTCTTTTTCCAAAATCATTCATCAACCAACATTCTGTCAAATACATTATAATTAAGTTAAGTTAAGCTTAGGTAATTAAATTATTGCGCAAGATTTGAATATTATTAATAATAATTTCTCTTTTCACCTCTATTCTCGAACGCAGCTTTTTTTATGGGCGGCGTTGCCGGTTTTGGCGTAACTGCCGGTGCTCAYCGCTTTTGGACACATCGCTCTTTTAAGGCCAATGTACCGTTACGTAGCATATTGATGCTTTGCTTCTCGGTAGCTGGACAGGTAATGAAATAACAGTAATAATCTAAATAATTATTAATAATGCAGGTATTATCTGTAAACATTTACTGCGTGCTTAGACGAGCGCATTGTTTACTGTTTTTTATGTACATATATCAATTACCGTTAGCATTGTAATTACGGTTTAAGTGTATTTTATGAGCAAAACATGTGAATTACGTCTATCTAAATTGCTAAGAAAATGTGTTAAGGCAAGCCATTAATAGGGATAATTAAGCTTTCAATTAGCCAGTATTRCTTGAGCATGTCGATTTTATGTATTTTATTTATATTTTATTTTTTAAAAGCTTTACTTAAATTTTTTAAATATATCTAAGTAAGTTTGGTACAGTAAGCTCCGCTTAATTGGCGCCCAAGTTATTTTATATGCCCGTTTATTTAAATTGCCGGTTAATTTCGGCGTATAATTAAGTCCATTTACGATAATTATCTTTGTTTGTGTTTACAACGAAAGAAATATGCATTCATTCTGACAAATACTATTGCTTAATATGTCCAGATTCGAGGATATATATAATTAATCCCTTAAGTTTGTTCAATGGGAGCAAAAAGTTTTGAAAATTACTTAAACCAAAAAAAAGTTAAGCTCGATTTCTTCGAATAAAAAACATTCAATGTGCCTTATGCTATAGCTGTGCGATCTGACCAATTTCTTCGGATAAGGTGGTATTGCTTTGAAATTTAATCTATACCAAATTCGGTGAAGATGTCTTTTCAAATACAATAGTTTTCCATACAAGGACTGTTAATATGACAGGAGAGGACGTGTGCAAAATTCCRGTTCGATATCTCAAAAACTCAGGGACTAGTTCGTGTATATACATAGTGACGGGCATGACATAATCGACTGCTTGTGATGCTGATAACTTATACATAAATRTACATATTTAATAGAGTCTCCGACGTTTCCGTGAAAAATTTGATATACACTGTTCAGGGTATAAAATTTATAAATTTCTGCGGACCAATTAAGTGGGGCATAGTGTAGATGCTCTGCATCAATCTTTGCAACAAATTTATAGCTATAAAAAAAAAAAATTATTTTATTAAATTACAACTTCACATCTTGTAAAATATTTAAATAATTTCATATAAGTTTTGAGTGCTCAGACAAATTTCAATTAAGTGCGTGTTGATAATTGAACAGCACTTTACCAAAGAACTACTTTGTGGTGGTTGTCATATTTTTTCTTTTTTGAACCTAATAAATTTACATTTCATTACATAAAATTAAAATATCAAAATATTTTTTCCAAAATTACAAAATTTATATGAGGCTTTCAAACAGTCGCTTAATTTAGTCAATTAGTMAGTTGTCTCTATTAGTAAAATATGTAAAATTTGCTAATTGACACAATTAAGCGGTTGTCCGAAACCGAATTATTATGTCCGAATTATTATTCTCGTACGAAAATGCAAATAAAGGAATCCTAACCTATAAGTACTTATTTTAAATTCTTTTTCTTCTACTTCCCCTACACTTCAGAATACACTCTACGATTGGGTGCGCGATCATCGTGTACACCACAAATACTCGGAAACCGATGCTGATCCACATAAYTCCAATCGTGGTTTCTTTTTCGCCCACGTCGGCTGGTTAATGATGCTAAAACACCCCGAAGTTTTACGTCGCGGCCGTCAGCTGGATTTGAGCGATGTAATGAACGATCCGGTCGTGCAGTTCCATCAGAAATACTTTATACCCTTGAAAATTATGCTCTGTTTTGTATTGCCCACCATGGTGCCCGTCTACTTTTGGGGTGAGGAATTCCATTTGGCCTTCATTACGCAATGTCTCTTCCGTTATGTGAGCAGTTTGAACTTCACATGGTCGGTGAATAGCGCCGCGCACATGTTTGGCACACGGCCTTATGATAAGTAAGTGAATGAGAATATTACTCAATATGAAAAACACACAGATTCAGATATCTAATTTRATTAAACACTTTCTTTACTAAACAAAAATAAATATATTTTTCTCATTTCCTGTTAACAGTCGCATCAGACCCACTGAGAACATTTACGTCTCACTCATTGCCATGGGTGAAGGCTGGCACAACTATCACCACGTTTTCCCCTGGGACTACAAAGCRGCTGAGCTCGGCAACTATTTCGGCAACTTCACCACTATGGTTTTGGATGCCTTCCATCGCATTGGCTGGGCTTGGGATATGAAAGAACCGTCGAAGGACTTGGTGCGTCGCGTTATTGATAAATATGGCGATGGCACACACCCGACGACAGATAAGCCAGAAGAAACACCATCGGTTGGTCATTTTCATTATGCGGAGGTACCCGATCCCGAATTTGACGCATCCGATGCGGAGTCGAGCAGCACGGAGAGCACAAAGCTGGATGAGAATGAGAATTTGAAGAAGAAAGTGCAAACGTAGAATACAGTTCGTTGTTGTTGGTAATTAAAATRCTAACTTTGGACTGGGTGTAAGTGAGCGTGAGACGTCGGAGCTCCTAAAAATATGGACGTGTGGCTGTTTATTTAATTGTTTTTTTTTTCGTAATTTGTAACTAAGTTCATTTTATATAAATATGTACTTCTAATAAATAATGGGTGTTCCGTCTACACATACATATGCACATATATAGTATATGAATGTAAGTATAAAAATATAAATTATATTTACATAAAATATAAAAATAACTGGAAACAAAAGTCGTATATGTTAACGGGTGAGATATGTATGTCATTCGTTTTTTTCGGGTTAAATGTTATGCACATTTTAATGGACATCCCAGCACTTTGGCGTAAATAAATAGGTTTTTAAGTAAAAATATGACGAATGAGTCACAAGTTGAAGATATTCTAGTACTAGCGTGTAAGAATTTTAATTTTATAAAACACTTTTAGTACGAGTACTATGAAAACACACAAGCGGGATAATTGTGCTACAAATGATTTACAATTAGTCAGTTAAGTCAATGCAAATTAATATTGGTAAATTTATTTTTATTAATAAGTAAGTCTGTTCATTTGTGAACGAAATTTTGATGTATAATAAAAAAAAGTATACATATCAAATCAAATTACTAAACGGTAAAAAGTATTTAAACGTATTTTAATTAAAACTAGTGGAGTTAGCACGATTGAGGTGGGATCTTTCATAGGAAAGAAGAAAAAGTTATAATTCTTTACAACTATATGTTACAATTCTCACAGCATAAAAGGGTATAAAATGACTTAATCTTGATTTTGTTCGATTGTAGTTTGTATGTTAGTGGTCTGATATGAGCAATATCAGAATGTTCAATAAGTTTTGTCGTTTGATAATAAAAACAAAATTTTATGATTCAAAATACACTTTATTATTCAGTATAATGTCCCTGAACATTAATACACTTGCTCCAACGATACTCCTCTTCAGTTGATGAAAAACGCTTGCCATGCATAAATTTTTTGAGTTTTGGAAGCAAATGGAAGTGGCCGTGGGCAAAATGGTGAATACTGTTCACGCTCCAACAATGCGAACTTTATTTCATAAATTTTAGCCATTGTCAAAATGCTCTTGTGACACAGTGCATTGTCCTGATGAAGAAGGATTTTTTTTCTCCTGCAAACCAGATATTTTTTCACCAATTTTTTCCTTCAACTGGTCCAAAAGGTTGGAATAATGCTCAAAATTAATTTTTTTAGCAGTTTGCAAGTAATCCACAAACAAAATTTCTCTCGCATCCCAAAAAAACTGATGTCATAGCCTTCTTGGCCGATTTCCGGAGATGAACTCGTTCCGAAACCGAACAACCAAGTTCACGCCACTCTTTAGCCTCTAGTTTTGGTTGAGGATCATGGTGATTGACCCAAGTCTCATCTATACGGATGAATCGACGCACAAAATCCACTTTATTCTTTTTAAACGCTCCAAATTTTGCTTAGAAAGTCGCATTCGGCTTTGTTTTTGTTCCATTGTTAGCGAATGCGGCATCCAATGTGCACACAACTTTCTAAAACCCAAAATTTCACTTAAAATATGGTTCATATTATCTAATGAGAAGTCTCTACTAAATCTTTTTCAGCTATGATTTCTGGTGTTGTTGCGCTTTTTGGGCGTCCTTCACTTGGATCGTCTTCAAGGCTTGTTCGACCACGTTTAAACTCAGCAACCCATCTTTCTACTGTTCTAATTGTAGGTGAACAATCATTATACACTTTTAACAATCGTTCGTGAATTTATTTTGGTGCTACACTTTCGGAAAACAAGAGTTTTAGCACTGCACGATATTAAATTTTTTCCATTGTCACAAAATACTCTGACATGGCGATGTAAATAAAAAATGAATTGACATATTGAAGTGAACCTTCACATAAATTCATATGAAGATTGTACCAACAAAAAAATAAAAAATAAAAAATATTGGCCTAGTAGCAACGCCCACTCTTATCGAACGACAAAACTTATTGAATAACCTGGTATTTTCGCAGATTATATATTGAGACAATAATCTGGGCAAAATTTCGCAAATATATCTTGTCAAATAAAAAAGTTTTTTATACAGAGACTTGAGTTTGATCGATCACTTTATATGGCAGCTATGGCTATAACGGTCCGACATCGCAACTTCCTGCAAATAAGCACTAAATTGGGGAGAAAAGGGGCTCTGTAAAATTTTGTATTGATATTTCAAAAATGGAGAGTAGTCGCGGCGCACATACGAAAAGGTAGAAATGGTTAAATCGACTAACTCGACATGCTAATCACTTATATCAAATACATTTAGAGAATGAAAGAGGAATTAAGAAAAATATCGGAACACATCGCATCTATTTCATCACTTATTTTGAAAAACATCTGTTTTCCTTCCAAAACACTAAAAGAGGAGAAAAGTCCTGGGTCTCTCTCATGACCATGGTCGATTTGGTGAGTTAAAATCACTCCCAAGTTAAAATCTTAGTAATGAAATACCAGTAACAATCTAAATAATTAACCTGCATTATTAGCAGACTACACTTATTGTGTGCTTAGACGAGTGCATTGTTTATTGTGTGTATGCWTATCAATTACCGTTAGCACTGAATTACGGTTTAAGTGAGTTTTATGTGCAAACTACGTAACTATGTGTATTACGTATACCAAAATAAAATTTAAATKGTTTTAATTACTAAATAAATGTGTTAAAGCAAGTCATTAATATGGATAATTAAGCTTTCAATTAGCCAGTATTACTTGAGCATGTCGATTTTATTTATTTTATTTAGATTTCATTTTTTTAAAGCATTACCTAACTTTTTTTTAATTACATCTAAATGCTTTTGGTACAGTAAACTCCGCTTAATTGGCGCACAAGTTATTTTATATGCCCCTTTTATTTCAATGACCAGTTAATTTCGACGTATAATTAAGTCCATTTACGATAATTATCTTTGTTTGTGTTTACAACGAAAGAAATATGCATCAATTCTGACAAAAGATATTGCTTAGTATGTCCGTATTCGAGAATATATATAATTAATCCTTTAAGTTTGCTCAATGGAAGCAAAAAGTTTTGAAAATTAGGTAAACCAAGAAAAAAAGTTAAGTTCGATTTCCATGTGCCATATGCTATAGCTGTGCGATCTGAACAATTTCTTCGGAGAAGGTACTGTTGCCTTGAAATTTAATCCATACCAAATTGGGTGAAGATGCCTCATCAAATACAATAGTTTTCCATACAAGGTTTCCATACAAGGAATATGACAGGAGAGGACGTGTGCAAAATTCCAGTTCGATATCTCAAAAACTCAGGGACTAGTTCGTGTAWATACATAGTGACGGGTATGACATAATCGACTGCTTGTGATGCTGATAACTTATACATATCTTATAGAGTCTCCGACGTTTCCTTTTTGGTATTCTAACATCGTGTCAAACTTGATATACCCTGTTCAGGGTATAAACATTATAAATTTCTACGGACGAATTAAGTGGGGCATAGTGTAGATGCTCTGCATCAATCTTTGTAACAAATTTATAGCTCTAATATCATTAAAATAAATATTTTTACACTTAAAGTACAACTTCACACCTGGTAAAATATTTAAGTAGTTTCATATAACTTTTAAGCGCTCAGACAAATTCCACGCACTTAGTTGATAATTAAACTGCACTTTACCAATAGAACTATTTTGTCGCGGTTTCATAAAATATTGTTTTTTTATTGAAATGCAATAAAGTGATGCTTTACATTTCATTACATAAAATAAAAATATCTAACTTTTTTTCGAATATTACTAAGTTTATTTAAGAGTTTCGAAAAGCCGCTTAATTTATTTAATTGGTAAATTGTTCCATCAAAATTGTATGCAAAATTTGCTAATTGACTCAATTAAGCGCCTGTCTGAAACGTTTATTATTTACATAACATACATATGCTCATAAAGAAATGTTGAACACTATTTAAATCTTTATTTCTTATTTCTTTCCTACACTCCAGTCGAGCAAAATATATATTTTTTTGAATATCATTTACCCGGGAAAATTAAATACAATTTCCGGGTGCTTTTTTTGTCAGAATTTATAAACTTTTCATCAATGTAACCTTAGGAGGCGTTGACTATCTGATACTTGTATATCCTACCTAACCTTTAACATTTGCTAATTTAACACCACAGTGTGATATTAACAGCGGCTGTTAAGCTACGTTGGTAAGTTTCTGTCATTAACATTGCTTTTTAGTAAAAAAAATACAAAGTTCACGCGAATGAAGCTGCATTCAGTAGTTTCTCCAACTGAAGTATACCRTTATTTGGTTTTATTTAAACGACCACGCACATGCTTACGAAAAGAAGCTTGCTATCACATTCGATGAAGTTTCGAATAAGTGAAGTGTATGTATACAAACATTAAAATATGTTTATAATTTCTAAACATTAACCTTGCATGCTTATGATAAACAAAAGAGGAAGCAGYTTCGTCTAAGTTTGGTCACGTGGAAGCATTGTAAAACTGGAATTTCGGARCAACAAAAGCCGCCAAATGAACAGACGGGGCTGAATGAAATTCAACTGATATCACATATATTCATATATATGTATGTATGTATTTACATACACCCTAAATTCAAATATTTATATGAATGTGTATGTATTTATATCTTATTATGTAAAATAGTAACAACTAAAAAATTGGTCACAAAGAGAATTCAAATTTGATAAGCCAAAAAAAAAAAAATATCCAGTATGAACCGGCTAATTTACACACATACTTTTAAACATATGCTTTTATTTATTTACATATTGTATGTAAGTATGTATRTATGTATTTGCACACAAGTTTCYTTTTGAATTGAATTAATTYSACTAATTTGATCAATTTTATAATTTCATACTCTTGCAACATGTTGCTACAGTGCAGAATAGTTGCGTTCATCTAACAGTTGTTTGTATTAACTAAATCTAATCGGCATTAATATGGAATTCTATGAATATAAATGATCAGAATGACRAAACGAGTTGACATCCGCATGTCTATCTGCCCGGCTAACTTTACAAGCTGTAAGTTGAGATACATATCTTAATGAAACTTGGTACAGGTGTTCCCTGGCGAAGTGAGGAGGATTTCCTAGGAAATCCACACCCACAAAATGGTATTAAAAGAAAATACATACATATATAGTATAAAATKCCAC